AGACCCTGGGGAGCCACTGGCACATAATAAAGCTCATACTTCTATGGCCTGAACACGCGGTAGGATATTTCAGGAAAGAGGTTATCCTAAAAACCACAGGGACATGTAATCGTTCTTACAGTTGAACAATTTTACTCTGTCACTCTTCTACCAGAATACTGAGTGAGAAAACTCTTGTGTTTAGATCTTCCTAGAGTGGGTTATGGAACTCATATCTCTAAGGCAGGGTCTTTGATAGAATTCAGGAAGTCTGTGAATTCGGATGCAAAATATTAAATCATTATTTTCACTTCAGTTATGAACATAATCTATAGCAGTAATAGCAACTTATTAGACAAATGGATTTGTCACCAACAGAAATCATGGGTATTTTCATATCATATTATACTTGTTACAAATACTTTAAAATGCTGCTTTTGTTTTGAAAACTGTATGTCAATATAATCCAATATAACTGGTTTTCTTTATAGCTCTATGTATTTTATTTTTGCATAGAAAAACATATTCCAAAAAGGAACTCTAAAAGCTTTCATCACACTGCCAAAGGAGTCCGTAACACAAAAAAGATTAAGATTCCTGTTCTACAGCCAAAAAATAAACAAACATAATCACATTTAGGGTAATTATCTGTATGTTAAAAAAACTACCTGTTTTTTATGAAGGGTCATATGCTCATTTTCTATAGAGCAAAGACCATATGTCATTATTTTTAGCAACCTTCACTTCAAAACTGGTTTGCAAGTAGTTGTGAATGTGATGTAACAGCCTAGCAGATTCATGGCTTCCCCTGGCTCACTGGCAGTCATCCTTGTCCAAACATAGAAAGCCTCAAACTAATATAACTTTCAACTTGTGGTACAAGAGAATTCCCAAAAGAAAGGAGGGGCCAGGCGCCGTGGCTCACGCCTGTAATCCCAACACTTTGGGAGGTCGAGGCAGGTGGATCACTTGAGGTCTGAAGTTTGAGACCAGCCTGGCCAACATGGTGAAACCCCAACTCTACTAAAATATAAAAATTAGCTGGGCGTGGTGGCGCCGCCTGTAATCCCAGCTACTAGGGAGGCTGAGGCAGGAGAATTGCTTGAACCCAGGAGGTGGAAGTTGCAGTGAGCTGAGACTGTGCCACTTCACTCTAGCCCGGGCAACAGATGAGACTCTGGCTCAAAAAAAAAAAAAAAAGAGGGGGAAGAAAGACACATACATAAAGAAAGCCTGCTCTTAATATATGTCTACTAACCGGGTTTATGAATGGTAAAATACAGACAAATTCAATTATTTACATTGATGAATAAGGTACATAAACAAACCTAAAAGAATGCCAAATGTGAGAGTCAGTTTCATTTTATCTTCTGAGATGGAGCTTCAGCACATACTGCAAACATAAAATAGTACATTCCCTGAATTTACTGGCTGAATTGTAGAAAGGAATTAGGATTTAAATTTTGCCACAAATAATCCATAAAGCAATTAACAAAACAAATCACGTATGAAACACGGGTCCAGGTATTCATTTGACAGGAATACTGTGAAAAGAGAAGTTTAAGACTAAAAACAGAAAGGCTTACGCTTAGGAAAGGGGTTGAAGGACGTAGGGAAAAGGAGATGCCAGAAATCACCAAGTATTAAGCAAGAGGGCTGCCAAGCCTAAAGTCCTGACCCCTCACTCTTCCTTTCCTAAGTCACCCCTTTTTCTTTTCTTTCCTTTTTCTTTCTTTTTTTTTTTGAGACAGAGTTTTGCTCTTGTTACCCAGGCTGGAGTGCAATGGCGCGATCTCAGCTCACCGCAACCTCCGCCTCCCGGGTTCGGGCAATTCTCCTGCCTCAGCCTCCTAAGTAGCTGGGATTACAGGCACACGCCACCATGCCCAGCTAATTTTTTTTTGTATTTTTAGTAGAGACGGGGTTTCACCATGTTAACCAGGATGGTCTCGATCTCTTGACCTCATGATCCACCCGCCTTGGCCTCCCAAAGTGCTGGGATTACAGGCTTGAGCCACCACGCCCGGCCTTCTTTCTTTCTTTCCCTTTTTTTTTTTTTTGAGACAGAGTTTCCCTTTTGTTGCCAAGCTGGAGTGCATGATCTCGGCTCACTGCAACCTCCACCTCCTGTGTTCAAGCGATTTTCCTGCCTTAGCCTCCTGAGTAGCTGGGATTACAGGCATGTACCACCACGCCCGGCTAATTTTGTATTTTTATTAGAAACAGGGTTTCTCCACATTGGTCAGGATGGTCTTGAACTCCCAACCTCAGGTGATCTGCCCGCCTCAGCCTCCCGAAGTGCTGGAATTACAGGCATGAGCCACCGCACCCAGCCCCCATATGCTTGATGTGTGATAATGTAAAGATGTAGAAGAAGCCAGCCACAATCTTAAGCAAAAAAAGGATTCTCACAGTCCTGAGATAATTGGCAAGTGCTCTTACTTTAGGGTTTCTGTAACTGGAAAAAAATCCAAGAAAAAAATGACTTTTAGAAAAATGTATTCTTTCCAATCAAAGTAACACAAACTTTGATGTAAGAGGGACCTATTTCTACTTGATTAAGAAAGGCAAGTTTCTATTAGAAAAGTCAGAAGGTCTGGCTTCAGATCAAAGTTATGTAAATACTTAGAAAGAAAAGCATGATGCTTGAGTAGAAAAACTACTATTATTAACAGATGTTTTACTACTATCCATCATTAATAACAGTGGAAAATTATGCTTGCTTTTTATTTGAGCATTTCAAAAACTAAATCTCATCAGTTCTTATAACATCTCTAAGAGAGGTGATTCAGATCCCTAGGAAAATACTGTCTAACCTAAAGGCCAGACAGCTCTGAATTATAAATGGAGTCAGATGGTTTACAAACTCCATGAAATTATATAAAAGCTGGTTAAGTTCACATACATTTCTGACTATTAAAGGGCTGTTTAATCATAAGAACAGTTACCTCTGGCCATGGTTAGAAAATCTTAAGGAAGAGAAAGCAGTAATGCTTTCCATACACAGTCACAGAGGGCGTCAACGTTAGCATCAGGGACAGTAACCAGGGACCGCTAAAGCCAGGGCTCTCTCTAACTAGATCATTCTTCTTAAGGGATCACATATCCAAAAAGCAGGTCCCCAAGAAAAATAAAACCCCACCTGTGTATGGGAGGAGAATCACAGACTGAGGGGGAATGAAGCTCATTCTTTATCAACCAGGCCATCATACTAGTTTTCAAAGGGAATTTGCAAGGCAAATCTTTTGTCTTACAAAAAGGTTCATTTCATTCGGCAAAGAAAAAAAGACCCCAGAGGGAGTACGTACTGCGGAATCCCAAGCCTCTTCTATCACCTGTTACCTTGAAACATATATTCTGTTCTAGAAGAAATCCTTGGGCAGTTCCTTTAGTTATGTAGACTGTAAGTCAAGCAAACATCTAGTGTCCTAGAAAAACGTGTAACTGGTCAAATTTTTTAGCCAAAAATAAAGGCTATTCCCCACCATTCTCAACTCATTCCTATTCAAGAACCTGTATGAACTCTATTTCCCTGTTACAGAGTGTATGGGAACAGGAGTGCTTGTCAGATTAATACAGTGTCTGATAAGTCAAAATGACCTTACACTTGTCCTATTATTCTTTTCAAAAAGCACTGGGTCACATGATCAATAGCACCTTCTAAAAAGGGCTGTAAGGTCAGGTTCGGTGGCTCACGCCTGTAATCCCAGCACTTTGGGAGCCTGAAGCGGGTGGATCACCTGAGGTCAGCAGTTCGAGACCAGCCTGCCCAACGTGGTGAAACCCTGTCTCTGCTAAAACACAAAATTAGCTGGGCATGGTGGTGCAGCCTGTAGTCCCAGCTATTCAGGAGGCTGAGGTGGGAGAATCACTTTGAACCCAGGAGGCAGAGGTTGCAGGAAGCTGAGATGGTGCCGCTGCACTCCAGCCTCCTCAACAGGGTGATACTCTGTCTCAAAAGTAATAAATAAAATAAAAAGGGCTGTAAGAGAGAAAGAAGTAGTAACACTCACTTTAATTTCAACTGCATCACTAACAGCCCTAATGAAAGGGAATGTGTAGGAAGTCAAATCAGCCGCTAAAACTTCACTTCAATTACCCATAGTGTGGTATCATTCCTAGCATGCCAGTCTTGGCCTCCAGTGCACACATCACCGAATCAGATAGCTAAGTGTACCGAAGTCTCTCGCATGTGGCATTCCAATCACCACTACTGGCACTGCGCCTGTCATGGTTTTGTCCACCTTTCTTTCTCGTCATGGTCATCATTTGTTTACTGCTATTACTGCACCAAGTCCCATTCTCAGTATCTTTTTACTAGCAATTCTCTGAACTTGCAGAATCACTAAATATCAAGACTGAACAGGCTCTGGAGGTCGTATCTTCCTTCTTCTTCCATTTTCTTGGCAGAGTATTTTCTGTCTCCATCTTGAGTTTCCTTCCCAACCCTTGCTCCTACTCTCAAAGCTCCCATTCCTCATTAGCAGTTTCTCATACCACACACCCCTAAATCCTCACTGCTTCTATAAATATCACTGTCCCTTTTTTCTTTTCTTTTCTTTTTTTTTTTGAGACAGAGTCTCCCTCTGTCACCCAGGCTGGAGTGCAGCGGCGCCATCTTGGCTCACTGCCACCTCCGCCTCCTGGGTTCAAGCGATCCTCCCACCTCTGCCTCCCAAGTAGCTGGGATTACAGGCACGAGCCACCACACCCGCCCAATGTCCGTGTTTCAGCTGCCATGGCGAGTCACTTCGGTCACTTTCCGGAAGCCGTCTCCAGGTGAGCCAGCCTAGGACAGCCTGTTCCCGGTCGCGTCTTTGTACTTCCCAACAGTTCCCTATTCACAGAACCACTACATTTTAGAACCGAAAGAAAACTCAGAAATATTCTGGTCCAGTGCTTTTCCAAATTGGTAAAGTTCACTTTGCTCCTTACATTTTGAGATGTGCAAAGTCCATTTTACATCACAGTGTCACACAGACATACTCCAGCGAACCCCGCGACACGACACTTAAGCTTACCGTGCAAACACGCGGAGCATTTCTATCCTGTGCACAGGTTCCGTCCGCGAAGCCGGTTTCGCAGCACAGCGCTGGGAAGAAAGCCACAGTTCGGCAGACATTAAGCCGGTCCGGACTTCCCACCCACCGACGGGGCCGTCACTCGGGGGAGGTCCGCTCTGAGGACCCGGCCCGGCCGGGCCGTGAGTCCCCGCGCAGCTGCCCTCGCCCGGCCCGGCCCCGCGGTACCATCCGACCCCGCGCGGCGCCCCGTTCCCGCAGGGCAGGGTCCCTCCCGGCCGCCCCCATCGAGCGGTCCCCGCGGGGTCCCCGCCCCACGTCCCCGCGCCCGCCGCTCGGTCACAGTCCCCGCGCGGTCACTGGCCCTCGGTCACAGTGGCCTCACGCTGCCCTCGCGGTCACTCACCGCCCTGCCTCGGTCCCCGTCGCCTGGCGGCCGCGGCCCCACAGTCCGTCCTCCCGAACACAGACGCACGGGCAGGCACGCACCCGCGGTGGCCCTCCCCCGGCCCGGCCCGGCCGGATCTCCGCCCGGCGCCGTGTCACCGACGAGGGAAGTAGAGGAGGTTGCGGGGAGACGCCCCGAGAAGGGAGCTGACGGAAGAGCCGGCCGGAAGTCCCGCCCACCTCCCCTACCGCCGTCGATCCGACCGCGACGGCTCCTTGAAAATCGCGACTCCGGACAAAGTAGTTCCGCCTCGTTAGAGGCCCCGGTGGCGAAGTGCCCGGACTGGAGATGCGGTGACCCCGGCCCGTGCCCCGCCGCCCCGCCTCTCCGACCACGTGGGGTGGAAGGGACGCGGACGGCCGCCAACCTGGTCCGCTGAAAGCCTGCGGCCGACCCGCGGTCCTCCGGGTTCTGACCCGGCTTGGCGCAGCAAAAGCGATCCCTGGGGACCCGCCGAGAGCGCGTGGAGCAGGAGCGGATCCGCGGGAGGCGGCCGGCCGGGAGGCACATGCCGCAGGTGCGCGGCGGGGAGAAACGCTTTCCTTTTGCAGAATGAGCCTTTGGAAGGGTCCCTTTTAATTCCGTACATGTAAGTGACCACACAATGTTATGGAAGAACGACGTAAATAAACCCTTTTAAATTTTTAGTTGTCAACTTCACTGAAGTAAAAGACCTTATTTACTTATTATTTTATTTATTATTCTTTTTTTTGAGACGGAGTTTCGCTCTTGTTACCCAGGCTGGATGGAGTGCAATGGCGCGATCTCGGCTCACCGCAACCTCCGCCTCCTGGGTTCAGGCAATTCTCCTGCCTCAGCCTCCTGAGTAGCTGGGATTACAGGCATGTGCCACCATGCCCAGCTAATTTTTTTTGTATTTTTAGTAGAGACGGGGTTTCACCATGTTGACCAGGATGGTCTCGATCTCCTGACCTCGTGATCCACCCGCCTCGGCCTCCCAAACTGCTGGGATTACAGGCGTGAGCCACCGCGCCCGGCCTTTTTATTTTTTTAAAGACGGAGCCTCGCTCTGACGCCCAGGCTGGAGTGCAATGCTGCAGTCTCTGCTCACTGGAGCCTTCGCCTCCCAGGTTCAAGGGATTCTCGTGCCTCAGCCTCCCGAGTAGCTGGAATTACAGGCGTGCACCAACACACCCGGCTAATTTTTGTATTCTTAGTAGAGTTGGGGGTTTCACTATGTTGGTTAGGCTGGTCTCAAACTCCTGACCTCAAGTAATCTGCCCACTTCGGCCTCCCAAAGTGTTGGAATTACAGGCGTGAGCCACTGCGCCCTGCCAATTTTTTTTTTTTCCTTTTTTGTCTACTCTCAAACGATGAAAATGTATGCGAAGCACCAGAGTGACTGGCTGTGCAGAGATACTCCAAATACCTGGCCCAACTCATCCTCTCACAGCAGGTGACACTGGAATAAAGAATTTCATTTGCTGAGCATGGTGGTCCACACCTGTAATCCTAGCACTTTTTGGGAGACTGAGGTGGGAGGAACACTTGAGCCCAGGAGTTCAAGACGAGCCTGGGCAACATCGGGAAACCTTGTCTCTATAAGTGATACAACAATTAGGCCGAGCAAAGTGGGTCATGCCTGTAATCTCAGCACTTTGGGAGGCCAGGCGGCTGGTGGATCACTGGAGGTCAGGAGTTCAAGACCCGCCTGACCAACATGGTAAAACCCCTTCTCTACTAAAAATATAAAAATTAGCTGGATGTGGTGGTGCTCGCCTGTAGTCCCAGCTACTCAGGAGGCTAAGGCAGAAGAACTCCTTGAATCCAGGAGATGGAGGTTGCAGTGAGCTGAGATCGTGCCACTGCACTCCATCCTGGGCAACACAGTGAGAGATTCCATCTAAAAAAAAAAAAAAAAAAAAATAGTGTAACAAAATCAAAACATTAAAAACATGAGGCCTAAAACACAACAGATTCTGTTGTCAAACTACTAACATCTTCATTTTTATTTTGTTAAGATATTAAACAATATTAAAAAGTTCAAGTTTCTTCATGGTCACATCTTTTCCCAGCTTTTCAAAGATTCATTCAGTAGTAGAAACAGCCAAATGCTGCTACAACGCAGAATAAACTTTCCTAAAAAACAAAACACACACACACACACACACACACACACACACACACGTTAGTACTGAAGAGGAGTAAGAGCAGCATGGGCAGTTGAAACTAACACTATCTCAGATCTTTACCAATTTTCGTTTTTTTGGTTTTTTTTCAGACAGGATCTCTCTATCACCCAGGCTGGGTTACAGTGGTGTGATCTCGGCTCACTGCAGCCTCAACATCCTGGACTCAAACAATCCTCCCACCTCTGCCTCCAGAGTAGCTAGGCCCACAGGTGCATGCCACCATTATCAGGCTAATTTTATTTTTTGCAAAGATGAGGTCTCACTATGTTGCCCAGGCTGGTCTTGAACTCCTGGGCTCAAGCAATCCACCCATCTTGGTTTCCCAAAGTGCTGGTATCACAGGCATGAGCCACCTCACCCAGCCACCAATTTTCAATCATGAAGACTTTTTCCTTTTTCATGAAGTGAAGGGTTTCTAGAGTATAGCTATACTATTGCTTTATAAAAGGGTAGGATGGATAAAGAATTAGATATTCTGAATGTAGAAATAAAATGTGAAGTAATGAACTTTAGGTAATACATACTCATTCCTAAAATAACTATTCACATATTTCCTGATTTATCACAGAAAGAATGTATGAAATGTTTGAGTTTCTTGGAGTAAATTGCACTACTCATCTCAAGAAACCATGTTATAGTATCACTGAGAGTAAAAACAGCAGGACCTTGTCATGAATTCTGGATAAGAGAAATGGTCTCTGGGTGTCTGTTCTTAATTAATAAAATTTATTTGTCCAACTTCTAGTTCAGAATCACAAAATGCTTTCCAGAGCCCAGATTGCTTAAAATACCTTGTAGGCACTTATTACAAGATTTCCACCTGCCTCAGCAACTCCTGAACCACCGACCTCACCTCTAGCCTGGTAATGATGAGATTAAAGCAATCTCAACTCAAGGACCTGATTATTAACCAAAAGCAAAATTCTCTGGTTCAGCCCAGCTCCCTGGCTCCTTGGGCGGGTAACTCTGAACTTGCTCTACAACAGTGCTGTGATAAAGGACCTGCTTTTGTTTTCATTTTAGCTTCCAGTCCCTTGTGGAAGGATGCTTTTATCAAATCCAGTAAAAACAGATAACTCAGAAAATGAAATGAAAAAAAGGAACATACAAAATACAGCCCCAATTTTTTTCCTTAGATTCGCTGGACATAAATTACTTTGTCAAATTGCTGTAAGAGTTTCTAAACCCTTACACTCAATGTGTGTGCTAACCTCATCATGGACCTGTAACAAACGGGTCACAGTGCCACTGGTCTGTGGACCCCCCGTGGAGTGGCACCGTTCTACAGCACCACCCAGTTCTCCAGCGGGACTGAGCCCTGTTATCTACAGCAGTTTTCTGCTCAATGGCACGTGATTTTCCCTCCTCTCTCATTTCCTCAGCCTCTACTCATGTTTCCTGGAATCTCTCAAAGTGCTGTGTGTGTGTGTGTGCGCGCGCGCGCATCTCACTCTCTCACCCAGGCTGCAGTGCAGTGGCATGATCTCGGCTCACTGCAACCTCTGCCCTCTGGGTTCAAGCAATTCTCTTGCCTCAGCCTCCCGAGTAGCTGGGACTACAGGTGCCCGCCACCATGCCTGCCTAATTTTTGTATTTTTAGTAGAGACGGTCTTGAACTCCTGATCTCAGGTGATCCACCTGCCTTGGCCTCCCAAAGTGCTGGGATTACAGGTGTAAGCCACCGCGCCCGGCCTCCAAATAAAGTGTTTTAAGCTCTGAAAATAAAACCTAAATAAATACCCAGCTCGGCCAGGAGCAGTGGCTCACGCCTGTAATCCCAGCACTTTGGGAGGCCAAGGTGGGCGGATCACCTGAGGTCAGGAGTTCAAGACCAGCCCGGCCAACATGGTGAAACCCTGGGCACCTGTAGTCCCAGCTACTTGGGAGGCTCAGACAGGAGAATAGCTTGAGCCTGGGAGGCGGAGGTTGCAGCGAGCAGAGATTGCATCATTGTACTCCATCCTGAGCAATAAAATGAGACTCCATCTCAAAAATTAGTAATAAACACCAACTCAACAAACTGGACTAAAGATAGTGTAGACTAAACAACCTAAAGCAAGCTATCAAAAATGGTGTTTAGCTGCCTCCTCCACCAATCCTGTGTTGCAAAACTCAATCCTGACAATCCTATTAAAGGAATAATTGATAAATAAATTTTTTATTACATATTTATTTGAGTGTTGAGTGGCCTCCACTGGATGTTAAGCTCTCTACAGGCAGAAACCATTCTGGTCTCATTCATCACTTTATCCCTAGCCCCGTGAGTGCAGAAGCTGACACATAATAGGAGCTCAGAACTGTTCGCTGAATGAATGATTTGTATCATCTAAAGATGCTTTTTTTTTTTTTTTTAACCAGGTAAAGTGGCTCACACCTGTAATTCCAGCACTTTGAGAGGCCAAGGAGGGCAGATCACCTGGCGTCAGGAGTTCAAGACTACCCTGACCAAATAGTGAAACCCCATCTCTACTAAAAAATACAAAATTAGCCAGGTGTGGTGGCATGCACCTGCAGTCCCAGCTACTCAGAAGGCTGAGGCAGAACTGCCTGAAACTGGGAGGCAGAGGTTGTAGTGAGCCAAGATCGCACCACTGCACTCCACCTGGGTGACAGAGAGAGACTGTCTCCACACAAACAAAAAAAGATGCATTTTTTAACTCCAAGAAGCACAAAAATTCATCTTCTCAGCTTGACTCTTCCCCTCAAGATAGCTGATAAATGAAGATTTGTCTAGTACTTCCCACTGTCCAGCCCCTCATCCCTTAGGTAGTTGAGCATAAAATAAAAGTTTGGTTGAGACTATGGAATTTTAGAACTAAAAGCTACCTTAAAATCATCTACATGCAGCTTCCATATCTGGCTGTCAGCAGAATCATGTGAGGAACGTTTTAAAAATTCAGATTCACTGATCCAACCCTTGGCTTATTTGATCAGAAACTATTTGAATAGGGTCTCGGCATCCATATTTTAAACCCCCCAAATTATCCTCAGGCAGTCACAGCCAGTCTTTGGGAAAATGTACTTCAGCTTCCTAATGTTACTGATACAATGTGAGAAAAACCCAATTACCTACCTAAAGTCATTTAATTAGAAAATGGAACCCCCCTTTTTCCTTTTACTTTTTTTTTTTTTTTTTGAGATGGAGTCTCACTCTGTCGCCCAGGCTGGAGGGCAATAACACAATCTCAGGTCACTGTAACCTTCATCTCCTGGGTTCAAGTGATTCTCCTACCTCAGCTCCCAAATAGTTGGGATTACAGGTGTGCACTATCATGCCTCACTAGTGTGTGTGTGTGTGTGTGTGTGTGTGTGTTTCAGTAGAGACAACAGTTTCACCATGTTGGCTAGGCTGGACTCAAAACTCTTGACCTCAAGTGATTCACCCACCTCGGCCTCCCAAAGTGGTGGGATTACAGGCATGAGCCACCGCGCCCAGCCTCTCTCTCTTACTCAATCGAGTTTCTGTTCTATTCTGACTCTTACGTATTCACAACCTGGGAGTAGATGAATAGAGGATGTGATCGTTTCTGGAGTAAATAAAAAATAATAATGTATCATTAAAATACATAAAACATTTCTGCCAATAAATTACCAATGTTTTTCGGGAGGCTGAGGCGGGTGGATCATCCTGGTCAACATGGTGAAACCCCGTCTCTACTAAAAATACAAAAAATTAGCTGGGCATGGTGGCACGTGCCTGTAATCCCAGCTACTCAGGAGGCTGAGGCAGGAAAATTGCCTGAACCCAGGAGGCGGAGGTTGCGGTGAGCCGAGACCGCGCCATTGCACTCCAGCCTGGGTAACAAGAGTGAAACTCCGTCTCAAAAAAAAAAAAAAAAATTACCAATGTTTTAATGAAACCTCTTTTATTTTTTTGAGATAGAGTCTCACTCTGCCGCCCAGGCTGGAGTACAGTGGCACGATCTCAGCGCACTGCAATCTCCGCTTACCAGGTTCAAGCAATTCTCTGCCTCAACCTCCTGAGTAGCTAGGATTACAGGTGCCCGCCACCATGCTCGGCTAATCTTCGTATTTTTAGGAGACATGGGGTTTCACTACGTTGGCCAGGCTGGTCTCGAACTCCAGACCTCAAGTGATCCTTGGCCTCCCAAAGTGCTGGGATTACAGGCATGAGCCACCTTACCCAGCCTGAACCCTCTTTTTAAAGATTACTCTTTATTTGTGCTTAATTTTAATCAATGGCTTTAAGATAAATAAATTTTATTACTAAAATAAAAACCACCTTTGCTCATGGAATCCCTGCCATCCAAATTTGTTTGCAACTTAGCAAAGTATGATTTGTTCAAATGAACAAATGTGTGATTTTAACACTGTAGTGATCAATCACTTTAATAAGGACCATCAGGATTGGGTTTTAGAACACAGTGATTTATGGAGGAAGTAGCTGAAAATAATTTTTAAGTAATATGCTAACTAAATAAACGCTATTCCCAAATTCAAACCCATGAAAAATCATGTCATATGTAAACATACAAGTTTCCTTGTCTTTAAGTAGCACGCTAGGTTTCTGCTTTAGTAACACAAAAGTTAAGTCAAATCATCCCATCCAGATGTCAAAGGTGAATGGCTGAGACTGCAGTGTCTTTACATCCTATTAAATATTAAGTAGTTTGATTTGTCCTTAGAAAGGAAAAAGAGGTTTCAAATTACACTTACATTCATGAAAACATCATGAGTATAGTTGTCAGTGTCAGCATCCCAGAAACAGCGAGAAGCCATGCTAAAAAATCCAAGAATGAAGAATTAACTACATAACAAGGACCAAAACTACAAATATCTGCCATGGGAAAAAGTGTTCCCTAATACATTCTCATAGATCTGTACTTCCAAACCTTTTCATAGGTTAGTACCCAAAGAATATTGTATTTGTACCAGAGAGTATGCTGGGTAAACTGGAGAGACTAGAGTCAGATGAAGCTGCTTGCAGCTAGGTGACCAGCCAGGGACTCTCACAGCCTCAGACCCTACCTGATGGCTATAGGGGTCAGTAATACAGGTCTGCATGTGACTTTTTTTTTTTTTGAGACGGAGTTTCGCTCGTTACCCAGGCCGGAGTGCAATGGCGCGATCTTGGCTCACCGCAACCTCCGCCTCCTGGGTTCAGGCAATTCTCCTGCCTCAGCCTCCTGAGTAGCTGGGATTACAGGCACGTGCCAACATGCCCAGCTAATTTTTTGTATTTTTAGTAAAGACAGGGTTTCACCATGTTGACCAGGATGGTCTCGATCTCTCGACCTCGTGATCCACCCGCCTCGGCCTCCCAAAGTGCTGGGATTACAGGCTTGAGCCACCGTGCCCGGCTGCATGTGACTTTTAATGACCTCGGCTCCTGCACAATAACAGTAGAAGGCAGGTGTAGAAAGAGCCCAACAGATTTAGTTCAACCTGATCACTGTATAGAGTCCCAGAAAAAGGGGCAAACATGAAACTAGAATTCAGTCTTCTAATTATAACTCCAGAAATATCTCTAAGAATGTTAACCTACCTCTAAATTGGCTATTATCCTCTCTGCAATTCTTGGGTAAGAGAAAAATATTAGTCAAAATGAAAGCCAATTAAAAATGGAAACAACTTAAATACCCCAGGAGGACTGGATTGGTAAATGAAATTCCGGTATTTCTCAGGATCTGGGAGAATTTTTTTTTTTTTTTTTTTTTTTTTGAGACGGAGTTTCGCTCTTGTTACCCAGGCTGGAGTGCAATGGCGCGATCTCGGCTCACCGCAACCTCCGCCTCCTGGGTTCAGGCAATTCTCCTGCCTCAGCCTCCTGAGTAGTTGGGATTACAGGCACGCACCACCATGCCCAGCTATTTTTTTTGTATTTTTAGTAGAGACGGGGTTTCACCATGTTGACCAAGATGGTCTCGATCTCTTGACCTTGTGATCCACCCGCCTCGGCCTCCCAAAGTGCTGGGATTACAGGCTTGAGCCACCACGCCCGGCCGAGAATTTTTTTTTTAAAAGAAAAAAGAAACTATCATAACTTCTGGCAATGAAATTCCATGTAGACTTAAAGAAAAGTTTTACAAGACACAGTGATGTATCCCTGTAGTCCCAGCTACTTGAGAGGCTGAGGCAGCGAGTATCATTTGAGCCCAGGAGTTCAGGGCTGTGGTAACGCCATAGTCACATCTGTACAGCCACTGCACTCCAGTCTGGGAGACACAGCAGGACCCTGGCTCTTAAAAAAAATTCCAAGTACATGAAAAGCTATTGACAATATAATGTTAAGTGAAAAAAATAGGCCAGGTGCAGTGGCTCACGCCTGTAATCCCAGCACTTTGGGAGGCTGAGGTGGGCGAATCATCTGAGGTCAGGAGTTCGAGACCAGCCCGGCCAACACGGCAAAACCCTGTCTCTACTAAAAATACAAAAATTGGCTGGGCATCATGGCACATGCCTGTAATCCCAGCTACTCAGGAGGCTGAGGCAGGAGAATCACTTGAACCCAGAGGTAAAGGCTGCAGTGAGCTGAGATTGTGCCCCTGCCCTCCAGCGTGGGCGATAGATGAGACTCTGTCTGAAAAAATAATAAATAATAATGTTAAGTGAAAAAAAATTACAAATGTTTCACCTTTCATGTGTATGATTTATCGTATGAACACTTACTTTGTGCCATTCGCTAGTCTAAGTGTTTTACATGTATTAACTTACTGAATCCTATGAGGTAGTTACTATAATTATACCCATTCAGTGAATGTGAAAACTGAGAATTAGAGAAATTAATTAACCAAGGTCATACTAGGTGACAAAGCTTGGCTTGAACCCAGGCAGTTCAAAACCCACACCTACAGAGAAAGATATAAATATATCTTACTGTATTGGTTGTTTTTCCTGAAACAAAAGGTCTCACATATTTATTTCTGAACCCAGCCTACTATGGCAGAGCATATAAACAAAGAGAAAGAATATGTTCCCAATAAAACACATCCAACTGTCCAGATCGTGGTGACGTTTTCAGCTTGATGTGGTAAGACGGTTGCAGCCCTGACACAGCATAAATGTGTGTGTCATCTCATGCAGTTCCTTAACAGACCCAGCTTGGCTTTTCTGCAATGTCTCCTTTGAAGTTGTGCTTCATTTTATTACCAGTTTTCATCCGGATCCACTGGAAAATGGGATTTTGCTTTTGATTCTTGGCCAGGAATCGCTTAATCTTAAAAGACTTGTGAGAAGACATGACAAGAAGCAGAATCGAGCTCATACCACAAGAGAAAGGGAGAAGGCTTTTTGGTTTTTTTTTTTTTTGAGAATACAAAATAGTAAGACCCCAATTCCTTTATTTATTTCTATTTTATTTTTATTTTTTATTTTTATTTTTATTTTTGAGACGGAGTTTCGCTCTTGTTACCCAGGCTGGAGTGCAATGGCGCAATCTCGGCTCACCGCAACCTCCGCCTCCTGGGTTCAGGCAATTCTCCTGCCTCAGCCTCCTGAGTAGCTGGGATTACAGGCACGTGCCACCATGCCCAGCTAATTTTTTGTATTTTTAGTAGAGACGAGGTTTCACCATGTTGACCAGGATGATCTCGATCTCTTGACCTCGTGATCCACCTGCCTCGGCCTCTCAAAGTGCTGGGATTACAGGCATGAGCCACCGCGCCCGGCCCGTTATGTTACAGGACAAAAAGGGCTTTGCATACGTTTGATTAAAGTAAGATCTTAAAATCGGGAATTATCTTGGATTATTTGGGTGGGCCCAATTTAATCACAAAGGTCCTTAGACAAAGAGGGAGCAGGTGGGTTAGAGTCAGTTGAAGATGCTGTGCTGCTGGCTTTGAAAGTAGAGAAAGGCTTATAGGCCAGGCAGCCTCTTACTGGAACAGACAAGGAAATGGATTCTATCTGAGAGCCTCCAGAAGGAACGCAGCCCTGCTGACATGTCCATTTTAGTTCAGTGAAAGCCATTTTGGATTTCTGATCTCCAGAACTGTAAATAATATATCTGTGCTGTTTAAAGCACTAGGTTTGTGATGTGTTACAGCTGCAGCAGGGAACTAGCACACGAAGGAGGAAAAAGCCTATGACATGAAGAGCAAAGTTTCATGCTGAGGAGACAAGATCTGAAAGTCAGTACCTGTTAGAGGCAGACGCCTAATTAACACTCAAGGTTCTTGGTTTAAAGACTTGGAGGGTTACAATTAAGAAACAAGGAGGCTGGGCACAGTGGCTCATGCCTGTAATCCCAACAGTTTGGGAGGCCATGGCAGGTGGATCACCTGAGGACAGGAGTTTGAGACCAGCTTGGCCAACACGATGAAACATCGTCTCTACTAAAAACACAAAAATTAGCTGGGCGTGGTGTCGGGCGCCTATAATCCCAGCTACGTGGGAGGCTGAGGCAGGAGAAATGCTTGGGAGGTGGAGATCAGGCCATTGCACTCCAGCCTGAGCAACAAAGCAAAACTCTGTCTTAAAAAAAAAAAAAAAAGAAGCCGGGCGCGGTGGCTCACGCCTGTAATCCCAGCACTTTGGGAGGCCGAGGCGGGTGGATCACGAGGTCAAGAGATCGAGACCATCCTGGTCAACATGGTGAAACCCCGTCTCTACTAAAATACAAAAAAAAAAAAAAAAGAAAGAAAGAAAAGAAAAGAAAGAAACAAAGGTGAGGCAAGATGCGGTGGCTCACACCTATAATCCTAGCGCTTGGGGAGGCCAAGGTGGGAGAATCACTGGAGCCGAGGACTTCAAGACCAGCCTGGCCTGGACAACACGGTGAAACCCCGTCTCTACAAAAATACAAAAATTAGTTGGGAGTGGTGGCTCATGCCTACAGTCCCAGCTACTCAGGAGGCTGAAGCAGGAGGATCACGTGAGCCCAGAAGGCAGGGGTTGCAGTGAGCTGAGATCACACCACTGCGCTCCAGCCTGGGCAACAGAGTTGAGACTGTCTCAAAAAAGAAAAAAAAAGGATGAATTTAATATAGAGCCTTTTTAAAAATGCAACTCACAGAAGAGTTGGCACAAGAAAATAATTTTTTTAAAAAAGATAAAACTGTACTGTAATCCCAGCACTTTAGGAGGCCGAGGCAGGTGGATCACGAGGTCAAGAGATCGAGACCATCCTGGTCAACATGGTGAAACCCCGTCTCTACTAAAAATACAAAAAATTAGCTGGGCATGGTGGCGCACGCCTGTAATCTCAGCTACTCGGGAGGCTGAGGCAGGAGAATTGCCTGAACCCAGGAGGTGGAGGTTGCGGTGAGCCGAGATCGCGCCACTGCACTCCAGCCTGACTAACAAGAGCGAAACTCCGTCTCAAAAAAAAAAAAAAAAAAAAAGATAAAACTGTAACCCAACCTCAATTCAGCTCAGTTCCTGAAGGTAAGCAGCCCTGCACAGCAGAAGAGAGAGTTAAATCCTTTCTGGAAGAAAATAATGTCATCTGGAGGTCTACAATTTTTTTAAACAATGTCTAGGATTCAACCTAGGCATGCCAAGAGGCAAAAACATATACATGATTATTAAAAAAATACAAGAGAAACAAACTCACACATGACCCAGATGCTAGATTAAGTAGATGATGACATTAAAATAACTACTGTAGCTGGGTACAGTGGCTCATGCCTGTAATCCCAGCACTTTGGGAGGTCCAGGTGGGTGGACAACGGGGGTCAGGAGTGTGAGACCAGCCTGGCCAACATGGTGAAACACTGTCTCAACTAAAAATAAAAAAATTAGCCAGGCGTGGTGGCACACACCTGTAATCCCAGCTACTTG